TATCAAGGTCAAAGCAACCACACCAAAGCCTGAGGTCTGAGGCTTGTCTGGAAAATGGTGCTGGCCTGTTGGCTCCCTGCCTGGTCTCTGTTTCAATGCCTTTTTTATTTTATTTTTATTATTTAAAAAATATATTTTATTGATTTTTTACAGAGAGGAAGGGAGAGGGATAGAAAATTATCTCTCAATGAGAGAGAAACATCGATCAGCTGCCTCCTGCACATCCCCTACTGCGTATGTGCCCACAACCAAAGTACATGCCCTTGTCCGGACTCGAACCTGGGATCCTTCAGTCTGCAGGCCGATGCTCTACCCACTGAGCCAAACGAGTTTCAGCTGTTTTTATTTTTATTTTCTAAGCCAAACATTTGACATCCTAATTACAGGACCTCAGAGCTCAGATCTTAGGAGTCTGTACCACCAGGTCAGGTCAGGACAAAATCCTTCCACTTCAGTTTTGTTCATAAAAGATCATCATGGAAGGAAATTGGAAACCCAGGCCTCTTGGTCATCTCAGGGCCCACCTGCCCCTGTGTGAGATCCAAGTCCCTCCAGTGACATATAAATTAACCCCCTGGGTCCTGTCCTGCGTGGAGATGGTCCATCACTGGCAGCTGTAATATCCTTTCAGCTGAGACTCTTTCTAATCCAGTCTTCAGTCTTGACCTTTTCAGGTGAAATAGGTTTTCTTCCCAGAGTTTGCTTGCTAAGCTGATTATTGTGCACTCCATTAGCGCCTCTGAGTTTTATAGTGAAAACATTTGAATGGGAATGATTATTCAGTCTCATTCCTCTGGCTTCTCTTCAAGATGTCTTACAATTGTGACACCTTAAGTTACAGCAGGAACTTCCGGGTGTCTTGACCAATTCTGATCATAAGAGGGAACTCACACCCACAAGAGTCTAAGTCCCAGAATCTAAACTAACATCCCAGAGAAATGTGAGGTAGCTGCTCAGTGACAGATGTTTCACGGGTCCAGGAGCATTTCAGGAAAGGCTCAATGCGTCTTAAAAAAAAAAGGCTTTATTGTTGGAAGTATTACCTAGCTCACCCTCAGTGCTCCACCCACTTCCCCGGCTTGGCCTTTTCCAGCCATTCCCATGTCCTCCCACCCCCCAGCTTTCACCACCCCATTGTCTGTGTCCATGGGTTATGCATATAAGTTCATTGGTTGATCTCTTCCCACCCACCCTCCCCTGACTTTCCTCGAAGCTCCATAGTCTGTTCAGATGTACACACACACAGGAGGCATGAGAGGTCTGACCAGGGCTGTCTTGTGGGTTCCTCAGATACCGGTTCCCCCATTGAGTCTTTTCCTTCATCACAGACCACACTGCCCTCCTCCTGGGCAGGGATGGGGTGGGATGGGGTGAGAAGGCGGCCTCCACTCTGCCTTCCTTAGACAGGAGAGTGTCACCTTCCTTCCCTCCTGTAGGCATGGACAGTGAGGACGATCACGGCCGGGAAGACCTGGGACGCCTCAGGAAGCAGAAGGACCAGCACAACCCACATCTAATCCTCATGATGATCCCCCCACACTGGCTGGACAACCCCGGCCAGGGCGGTCAGAAAAGGAAGCGGGCCCTGGACATCGAATACTGCTTTAGGTGAGCCTGGGCCGCTCGGGATCCATGAATTCCTACTTGGACTGGCACCTACTGTGGGCAGGTCTGGCTCAATGGAGGGCCCTTGAGGCTGGTCACAAACATCTTCAGGAAAGATTTACAAACCTTTCTGTCTCTCTGGGAGCCCCCCACTTTCCTGCAGCCCAGCTCTGTGAGGCCCAGGATGAAGTGCCAGGAGGAGAGTGAGGGCTGAGCCTCTCCTTAGTTCTCATGTTTAGTTTTTGTTTTTAATTTTTTTTTATTGATATCAGAGAGGAAGGGAGACAAAGAGAGAGATTGAAATATCAACGATGAGAAAGAATCATTGATTGGCTGCCTCCTTCATGCCCCACACTGGGGATCGAGCCCGCAATCTGGGCATGTGCCCTGACCGGGAATCAAACTGTGACTTCCTGGTTCAGAGGTCAGTGCTCAGCCACTGGCCAGGCAGTAGTTCTCCTGTTTCAGAGTATGTGCGGGGTGTGTTTGCCTGTGGGCGATGCTTGCAGGAATCCCCATGAGAGAAGTGCTCAGTTCCCTGTGAAGGGTCCGAGGATGATATGGGATAAGGGGAAACTGGACAGCTCCTTTTGTGTCAGGAAATCTGAGCTAGAGAAATTAATGAACTATTTCAGACGTTTTTAGTAGCCTCAGTGAAGAGGTTACACGGAGCCTCTTTTCTTATTTAGGAGTAATTTAACTTCTTGTTTATAAGGAAGGGGCTGCTGAAGCATGCACAGCGGTTAGTAAAAGGTAGAAATGACCACATTCATGAGAAGGCCTGAAGGGTACGTGCTTTAAGAATTTGGAGCTCATCTGCGGATGCAGGAGAGGCTTCAGAGGGTGTGGAATCCCAGCCTTGGAGGACCAGTGAGTGTGGGTGGGGCCATGGGAGGAGGAGCACTTCCAGAAAAGGAAAGGGCATGAATGGGTCAGTCTGGCTAGAGGGGAGGGTGCCTGGATAGAGCCGGGAGAATGACTTGGGAAGATTTTAGCTCTAAAACCATGTCTTGTTAGGAGCAGTCGAATGAATGAGGGATGTTGAGCTTGGGGAACAGAAAGGGTAAGAAAGGCCATGTGGTTGCCTCCAACTGTCTGAAGGCTGGTGTGTAGATTAGTTCTGTTTGGCACATAATCAGTTAGGAATGGATGCTTGAGAACTTGGCTGCAAGAAAGTGTGGCCTAAAGCACACAGGAATTCTTGGTCATAAGAGGCTGGCAGCAGCAGGCTCAGGGTTGATCTGGCTGCTTCATTATGCCACCGGGGACACAGGCTTTCCCTCTCTCTTCAGTCTGCCACGCTGAACATGGTGCCTTGCTTTTCATGCTCTTGCTCATGGTCACAGTGTCTGCTGGAGCTCCAGGTAGCTTGTCTGTGCTGACGACGAGAAAAGGGAAGAGGCAGAGCTAGTAGTGTTCCCCTTCTATCTGCGACTTTTATATGGAATCAAATATTTTTTTGCCAGAATTGGCCCTCATCCTCTGCATGCTTCTCCTTATGTCTGGTCATTGCTGTGGAGGTACGGGCACCTCTATCTGCAAGAGAGGCAGGAAAATAAGTATCTGGTGTTCTAGACTCTGACATGGGAAGCAGCAAGAGAAGGGGGTTAGGAATGAGAAGATAATAAAGAATGTTTGCCACCGTTCACCCTCAGAACCCACAAGAAGCCCGGTTTTGGCCTTGGAAGCAGCAAGTCCTAGGTCTCAGCAGATACTGAAGTAAGACTAGTTCCCACCTGCAAAGGGTACTGCCCAATGGGCTTCTGCAGGCAGCAGAACTGACGTGCCCTGATGATCACATTGGGGGTGGCCTAGGAATCGTGAGTATGATCATAGAAGGATGTGCCTCATTTTGATTTGATTAGATTACATTTGAGATGTAATCTAAGCAGTCTTCTCCCACAGTACATAAGCGGTGTGAGCTTAAAGGTCATTTCTGGCTGGTTGCACAGTAGGAAGGTAATAAAATCAACCTCCACTGAGCTGAGTTGGCTGATAACATTCAGTGCTTGGTTTTCTGTGGAGCAATTTATGTCTCTGCTTTGATTCATAAAGTAAAAAGGAGCAGGGCCGCCTCTGTCTTTTTGCTCTTATTCATCATCTACATCTGCTTGGTATGTCCCTGGGACCAGGGTCTTTAACAGAAAACTCTGTTATAGTCTATACGGCTCCTTGCACTTGAACATGAGGTTCCATCGATTAGACTCCGTCTTAGGATGACCAGGAAGGATTCCATGTGCAAAGACAAGGGCCGCTTGTGAAGTTGTTCATGTCAGTGGCTTGCTTTTAGGTCGGGTTTCTGTAATGTGCTTTGTGTTGCAGCAATGTGGAAGAGAACTGCTGTGTGCGCCCCCTCTACATCGACTTCCGCCAGGATCTGGGCTGGAAATGGATCCACGAACCTAAGGGCTACGCCGCCAACTTCTGCTCAGGCCCTTGCCCGTACCTCCACAGCACAGACACTACCCACAGCAAGGTATGTACGGATGGGGCTCAGGCCCCAGGGAGCGCCAGGGTTGAGTGGACCAGGCCCCTTGTTTGAAAACAATGTGTGAAGGACTGAATGCCGAGTGAGGGAAGGATGAGCTGAAGTGAGTAAAATCCCTTCTGTGAAGGTTTTGATCTTGGCACTCAGGCCCAACTTTACTCGGGCACATTCTACCCTTCATAATTACTTACATAGTTTCAGCCTGGCTTTTCATCTTTGTCTAAAGCGTTTGTATTGTTCTGGAATTAATTTGCTCCATGCCACCCTGTATGTCAGAGATGTGTGCGCATGGCTGGCAGGTGATGTGGGCAGAATGGCTTCCACCATCACCTCAACAACTCTGGTAATTCCAGCCTCCTGACTGTAGAAAAGTTACTTAGAAAGAGGAGGTAAAGCATGCAGAAGCAGCTAACTGAAACAACAGGAAGAAAAGGGGAGAGAGAGAGGGGAGTCCAGGACCCTGAAACCAGCTTATCTTTCCCTGGTGGGTAGGGTGAGGGGGATGAAACCAGGGCAGAAATTCACAAGGCACTTTCCTTACAGCTCATTGTCACTACATCTAGTCTGGCAATTACCAAATGGCAATGTTTTGTGAAGTCCATTTCTCACCAAAGTGGCCAATTAGAACTGGGAAGACCAATATAGGAGTGTTTTTTTCACAGAGAGAGAGGATTCCATGACCAATGTCAAGTCCCCCATAGCTGCTAATGTGCCAAACTGTTAATGAGCAGGTGCAGATGCTCTCCATTCCTGCCCCGTGGACGAATGGGAGTGGTCACTCACGCCACCTGGGCGTGTCCCCGTGGTGTTGACCACGTGCTCGGTCTCTGGAGCAGCCCCAGAGGGCGTGGAGGGTCTCAGGCCTCAGGCCTGGCTTTCCAGCTTCTAAGCGATGTCTCCTCCCCAGGTGCTGAGCATGTACAACACCTTGAACCCCGAAGCCTCCGCATCCCCTTGCTGTGTGCCCCAGGACTTGGAGCCCCTGACCATCCTGTACTATGTCGGGAGGAACCCCAAGGTGGAGAATCTGTCTAACATGGTGGTGAAGTCCTGTAAGTGCAGCTGAGGCCCCGCCCGCAGCCCGGGGAGCAGAGAGAGAACTGCCAAGGCCGGCCTGCCTGCTCCTTGGGAAACATAAAACCAACAGACCTCACCTGGAAGCCTAGAGCCCACAACCTGCGGCGTCGGGCAAATGGCCGAGACGGAGGCTCCCTTCTGGAATGTTCCATTCTTGTTGGCTGTGAGGATCACTGTGGTAAAGAAAGTGTGGGTCTGGTTAGGGGAAGGCCGAACTCTTCAGAACACACAGATGTTTCTGGGACGTGGACAGGTGGTGGGACGGTGGAAGAGGGATGGCGAGTGGACAGTGGTGTGGCAATGGGGTTGGGGAGATGGGGAGGAGAAGAGGCAGAGTGTGGCCTGGACAGGGCCAGGCCGGAAGACATGTCTGACCGAGGTCAGATTTGCTCATCGCTGCCCCACGTCGGCACTAGGGTATCTGGATCATGTTATGCATGGCAAGCATTTCACTCCGGACAGGTTACCAAAACATGGTCCCCAGTGTTGTCTCTCATACAACCTGGGATGAAGGATGAAATCTGTTAGTTTGGCAAACCGTCCTCTGGACTCCTATCAGCATCAAGGGGCATTGCAGGGAAAACGGCCAGGTAATGTAGATCCCGGCCATCAGTTCCCAGGGCCCCAGGGGCACATCGAACTCAGAAGCAGAAGGTGCGAAGCGACCCTGCTCCTGTTTGCCCTCTGGGTCCCTCCTCTCGCCTGCTCCGGTGGCATTTCCCCTGGGACATTTGGCTAGACACCTTCCAGGTCAGGGTACACATCCGAGTTGGGGGTGTGTGCAGCCCTCGGGCATTATGGGCTTCCCCCTGCCCTGGGCCCTGTGTTCACCTGGTGTTCCTGGAAGCAGGTGCTATGTGTGGGGCACGCGGGGAGGTCACTCGTGTGCCACGCAATGACTTGGCCCAGACGCGTAGACTGAGGTATAAAGACAAATACAAATATTAATCTCGAAATCTTTGTATAAATAAAATTTTTGGGGGGAACCTTGGATCGTTTCATCTTCTGGAAGATTGTTTTTAGGACAGTAAAAGCCTTATTCTAAGGTGTAAGTCTGATTCGATAGTTCAATCGTTATATTATTGACATTTGGCTCTGTTGACTAATGAGTTTGCCGACCATGGGCTTAGTGTGATCAGCCTGTACGTGGCTCACGAAGCCGCCTTCCGTCGTCTGAGAGACCGCACTCTTGTGTCCCGCTTTCTTCAGTGCGTATTATTCTCAGACACACAGAGGAAGTGGCTCAGACTTGCAGACATTACACTGTATGAATTTGACCTCCATTTAACTGTGGGCAAAAGCACTTGGGATGGGCTTGCATATGGAAATGCGTTCATTTGTACATTCACTATAAGTGGCCAACAGTCATCCATTTTGAAAATCTCAACTCAACATCCAAATCAATGGAGAGTTAGAGACACTGCCTGTGGCAAATGGCCTGAGAATAAGCGGCCACTCCTGCCATCAGAGGAAGCCTAGGCAGAGCCCAGCAGGGGCCCCTTCTCAGACCAGGGGCCTCTTTGCCAGGGGCTTGAGGATGGGAGGGGACCGAAAAAGCGCAACTCAGGAGCTCTCCGTGGGTCACAGAGCCCAGGCTGCACAGTCCGTCCTGCCACCGATGTCCACCTGAAGCAGCCTTGTACAGGGGTGAGGCACATGCTCTTATGTGGAAATCGCTTTGCCTCTGGTGAAATCAGTCTAGCCTAGGCTAAATTTCTCAGGTCGAAGGATGTGGAGGATGCTGGTGGGTGTGCATCTTGCTCCTTCTGGAGATCTCCCAGGTTGAGCTCCTGAGTTTGCACAGCCGGACCTTTTCCTGCATTGTCCGTGCCCGGCCAATGCCAAGGGCTTCTCTCCCAGCCTTCATTCCATGTGGCATCATTTACTCCCACTGTACTCAGATACTAACCACCCCCCCCCCCCCCGCCCTATAAACCTGGCAGGTAGACTGATACAATTCTGGCAGGTGGACTGTGTTCCTTACCCATGGGAGCCAGTGGAGCTAGAGGGGATGTAACACGCCAAGCCCTTTGGCTGTAGCCATTGCTATCCCAACTTTCAGTCTACCAGTGTTTATTTAAACCGTACAATTTCAGGCTGCAACTCCAGGGATGTCTTTAGGCCTAGGGCAGGGTCCATGCTGCCTAAAAACTACATTTTGAGACACAGTGTGTTATATCTGACATCGTCGGTCCTTACCTGAGGCTTTCGTAAGAGGGAAATAATCTCTGCGGTCCTACAATAAACTTTCCTTATTATCCAACTCCACAGGACATCACTAAAACATTGGGCTGTGGTTCATCCTAACGCAACAAGGCAATGTGATGTGTTTCATGAGGTATTCCAAAGAAAGCAGCACACACTGGGATTCCAATGTTCCTTTTCTGTCGGAGCTCTGCTCTGACGTAATCAGCAGATACAAATACGGGCAGGGACCTGGCATCCACCCTCCCCGGTGCACATCACTTACGGGCACTACAGAGTTCTGAGCCACTGTCTGTCCATCTGCAAAATATACGCTTGTTCTGGAGGAGGGGGAGGAGGGACCCTGGAAATGACACTGCTGTGGGAGGGGATCTGACACCTGACTTCCCAACGCCAGCAGGGGACTATGAAGGATTTCTGTCTAATTTGTCTCCCAACTCAATTCACAACCAAGTTAGCAAACAGCTAAGAACCAAGAGAGGTCTAGAACCAGTAAAAATGGCTTGAGTTCACCTGCCTAACTGAAGGGAGTCTGGTCCTTAAGTGATCAGCACTGTGAGTGCAGGAAGAAATCAGCTCGAGATTCAATTCTGATTAGTCACCGAGGGCAATTCCAAGCACTCTCATGGTTCCAAAAGCTTTTACTGAGCCCACACCCTCTTGTCCTTTCACAAGACCCATATGGTGAGTCTCCCAAACACCTGATTTCCCAATTCTAAACGCCAGCAGGGGACTAATTAGGCATTCTCTTTTGTCTCCAAACCACTTACAACCAATCAGCAAACAGGTGGCCCTCAGACCTTGTACCAACCGGAAGTCCCAGGAGCATCTGGAACAGTCTCTCTTTTCTCTTGCAACCGACAGACCGCATCCTTTACAGGCAAGCAAAGGGCTTCAATGAATGGTTCCCATTCATTGTGAAAGGCACCAAAAGTTCCTTTCCTCTCTGCTTCTTTGGGTGTCCTTTTCTTTTGGGGTTTCAATGCTGAGTCTACAGTACATGGTTGGAGACGCCCCAGGCACTGGGTTCTCACTCAATACCTCCCCAGGCAGCTGAGTCAATCCTTTGGTGGGCCTGCCACCTTTTCTCCAGCAGAAGCCAGAGAGAAGACCTGCAGAGATGAGGGAGTGAAGTGCAGAGGACAGGTGGGTAGGAGGCCACCAGGCCTGCGTTGCTGTAAACGGGTTGTCTGGCTCGCATGCCAGCGGAGGACCTGTGTGTCCCGGTCTGATCATGGAGACATCGGCACAGACCAGCCTCCCAGGGGCAGGAGTAGCCTAGACCCACCGCCTGCTGAAGTGTAAGAATAAACCACCTCTTTATCGCCCATATTTCCAAAAATGAAGGTTAAAAAATTGCCCAGCAATGACACAAAATGAGGTGATCCCACCATTTTAGTCTCCTTGGTGAATCCTGATGGATGGGAAATTAGTCAATGGAAAAAAAAGAAAATAAAAATAGAATTACTTTATTAATTTTAGAAATCAGCAATGCCAAAGGGTGCCTTTGCCGTGGCCCGTGTGGTCAGCGGCACCCTGACTTTCCTCCTCTCCGGGAAACCCGTGCCGGAAGCTCCCCTCCCCTGCCCTCCCCACCCCCCCCTGAAAAGGGAAGGGCAACGCTGATGGACAGTGTTGTGGGGAGTAAAGTTAATACTGCAATCTGGAAAAGAAGAGGAAGCGAAATGCAAATAGCCAAAGAGCCTCTTTTATATCATCTGTGTGTGGCAGCAGGAGAGGGACAGAGATACCTAAGCAGGTGGGGGGAGGGGGAAGGGGGGGAAGATACACGTGTGCTCTGATGGGGTGGGTCACGCATCCGCTGAAGGTCCCCTCTGCCAAGTTCCATCCAAATCCAGCTGATGTGTTTTCCTGTCCTCTCAGTGAAAGGCTGGATTGGCTGGTTGGCAACCCACTACTGCCACTTCTGCTGGAAGGCCTTGGGGACTGAGGCAGCAAAAAAAAATACTATGGGCCCCAGCTGCACCCAGGGGCAGAGGAGCAGTGGGCAGGTCCTTCCTCCGCACGCTCTCGTGGCTCATCTCTTAGAGGGAGCAGGATCTGAAGAGAGAAAATGAACCGCTGAGTGACCGCAGAGAGCCATGGCTGGTTTAGTTAGTATCATCGCGGAATAAAAAAGTGGGGTCCCAAAGTAAATGAAGTAGGAAACTTTTCACTTGAACTTTCATTGGAAACCTTTCTAAAACATTCCTGCTCTGCTGCTGTTGCTTTGTGAAGTTCCTTTTCTTCTATTTTCCCTGAGTATCATCTGCTTGCTTCTTAAATAGAAGATGCTAAATATGTTAACCTTTTCTAAAAACTCCTGGCCAGCCGAAACCGGTTTGGCTCAGTGGTAGAGCGTCGGTCTGCGGACTGAAAGGTCTCAGGTTCGATTCCGGTCAAGGCCTTGATTGTGGGCACATCCCTGGTGGGGGTTGTGCAAGAGGCAGCTAGCTGGTTGATGTTTCTTTCTTATCGATGTTTCTAGCTCTCTGTCTCTCTCCCTTCCTTTCTGTAAAAATCAATAAAATATATTAAAAAAATAAATAAAAATAAAAACTCCCCGCCAGCATTATTAGCATTCAATATTGAAATGCATGGAAAAACCTTGCTGAGTTTGTCCAATCTCCCCTCTATGTTGGGCTGTCAGGTACCGCTCTGCCCTGCACCCCTGCCCCCCCCCCCCCAAACACTCCACCCACCACCCAGTTTGAGAAACATCACCTTCCCCCAGTTCTTTCCCATTCCCACCATCTTGGATTTTGTGTTTTCATGCCCTCGTCTGCTTTTTAAAAACAGGTTTATTTACTATATATACTTATATCCCTAAATATCCCATTGCTTTGTTTTATGTGGTTTTGAATTTTATATTGCTGCTGTGACTCTTCTTAATGTCATCTCAGCACACAACTGAAGTGCCTTTAGGAAGGTACTGAGGAGTAGAATTGCCAGGTCATAAGTACTTGAATCTTTAACTCTTTCAAAATAATGTTGTATTATTTTCTAACTGGGGGCCAAGTGCATGAATTTATGCACCTTGAAAGGAACTGTGGGCCGAGAGGCTACGGTGGGCACATGGGTGGGTCTTCCTCCGCTCTGCCCTTCTCTGCTGGAAGCCCTGTTCCTGTCACCGCCTTTTGCTTATTTTTCTACTGAGGTCTTTTTTGATTAAAAAAAAAAAACCCAAAACCGCCGAAACCCGTTTGGCTCAGTGGATAGAGCATCGGCCTGCAGACTGAAAGGTCCCAGGTTTGATTCTGGTCAAGGGCATGTACCTTGGTTGTGGGCATATCCCCAGTAGGGGGTGTGCAAGAGGCAGCTGGTTGATGTTTCTCTCTCATCGATGTTTCTAGCTCTCTATCCCTCTTCCCTTCCTCTCTGTAAAAAAATCAATAAAATATATTGAAACAAATAAACAAACAAAAAAAAACACACCATAATTCACATAACAGAGAATTCACCATTTAATGTGTAAAATTCAGTGGCTTTTAGTATATCCATTGAGAGTTGTGCATCATCATCATAGCAATTCTCAAACATTAACTGAAAGAAAATGAAGCTCTATACCTCTTAGCCCTCAGCCCATGCATCTCATCCCCAGCCCTAGACAATCACTAATCTACTTTCTGTCTCTGTAGATTGGCCCATTTTGGACATTTCATATAAAGTGGAATCATACAGTATGTGGTTCTTTGCATCTGGCTTCTTTCATTTATCAATGTTTTCAAGGGTCATCCACGTTGTGGCATGTATCCTACTCCATTCCTTTTTATGGCTGAATAATACTCCATGGTATGTACACATGACATTTTATTTATTCACCCATCAGCTGATGGGCATTTGGCTATTATTAATAATGCTGCTATAAACACTCATGTACAAATGTTTTGATCAGACATATGTTTTCATTTTTGTTGGGTACATACATAAGAGTGGAATTGCTGGGTTGTAAAGCAACTCTGTGTTTGATGGTGAGAAACTGCCAAACTGTTTTCCAAAGTAGCTGCACCATTGTACAGGCCCATCAGCAGTGTATGAAAGCTCCAGTTTCTCCACATCCTCACCAGTCCTTGCTAGTGTGTCTTTTTGTTTTAGCCATGCTGGTGGGTGTGAAGTGTATCCTGTGTAGTCTTGGTTTGCATTTCTCTCCCGTGGCTAATGATGTTCAGAATCTTTTCATATGCTTATTGGCATGGTAGATCTTCTTTGGGGGAATCTGTTCAGATCCTTTGCCCACTTAAAAAAAACTGAGTTGTCCTTTTTGCTATTGAGTTAAAGAACTTCCTTTTATAGTCTAGCTATAAGAACTTTATCATATACATGATTTACAAATCCTCTCTCCCATTCTGTGAGTTGCCATTTCACTTTCTTGATGGTTGTTTATAACCCATTTCCCTACACTCTCTCTCTCTCTCTCTCTTTTTTTTTTAATTTTTATTAAAGGTTGTTTTATTATTTTTTAATTTATAAGTAAAGTCCTACTCAGAGATAAAAACTAGACTGCATTTAGATATACACTCTTGACAAGTAATATTTTTAGAAAATGGTTTTAAAAAAATATTAAGACTGCCTGCCTGGTTGGACTCAGTGCATAGAGTGTCAGCTTTTTTTCTCTTTTTCTTTTCTTTTCTTTTTTTTTTTTATTAATCTTCACTCGAGGTTATTTTTCCATTGATTTTTAGGGAGAGTGGAAGAGAGAGGGAAAGACAGAAAGACACATCAGTGTGGAGAGACACATTGATTGGTTGCTTCCTGCACATGCTCTGACCAGAGACTGGGCCTGGGAGGAGCCTGCAACCAAGGTATGTGCCCTTGACCAGAATTGAACCTGGGACCCTTTTGTCTGCAGGCCTACTCTCTATTGCCTGAGGCAAACCGGCTTGGGGTCAGTCTCTGACTACCTGAAACATTTAGTCCACTCACATGTTTCTAATTACTAAGCTATTAGTTCCATTGTTTCTGTGTTTCCTTTCCCTCCTTATGGGTTTCTTTTTTCCTCATCCAATTTCTCTATACTATTTTGGAAGTTTTATATTCCTATTCTTTTAGTAGTTACTTGATTCATTTCTGCATTTGTATATATTGACTATGTAAAGCTGAAATTAATATTTTTAACCTCCTCACTGTATAAAATCAAGTTAGACAACTTTAAAAGTTAGACTACTTTAACTCTGATCATACCTTCCCCCTTGATTTTCAGTGTTTACCAAACTTTTGACATATGTGTACCCTTTCTATAATTTTCGTAATGCTGAGTACCCCTCGTACTCATGAGAATGTATTATAGAATTAGGCGCAGCTAAGCACGGTGCAGTGCATATCCCCACCAAACTCTGTTGCAACGCATACCCCCACCAAACTCTTCCCGTACTCCTGGGGGTACGCGTACCACACTTTGGGAAACACTAGTTTACATGATACTGGTGTTGAATATCTTTATCTCCCTCCACTTCTCTCCCCCCCTGACTCCCGTCCCCTGCCACACACACATAAACACACCGCCTTTTAAATCTCATAAGAACATTATCATCACTTTATTGGTTATTTTTGTATTTGCCCATATTTTTACACACTCTTGGCTCATAATTCTTTCTGGTTTCTCAGACCTTTTTCTGGTATCACCTTCCTCTGTTGGAAATATATTCTTTAGAATCTTCTCTTTTGTGAAGGTGTACTAGTGACCAATTGTTTGGGATTCTATGTGTTGGAAAATGTCTTTATTTCATCCTCATTCTTGAAAGGTATTTTTGCTTAAAACATACTTTTGATTTGGTAATTATTGTCTTTCACCAGTGGCCACATTACAATGTATTGTGATCCCGTTGGTGTTGAGAGTATGCTGTCAAACAAATCGGCAGTCCTTTGGTAAGCCTTCTTTGCACTCTAGCTGCTTTTAACATCCTTGTCATTTGTATTCTGAAGTTTCAGTATGGTGTGTCTAGGTGTGGATTTCTTTTAAAAAAAATTGATTTGCGAGAGAAAGGGAAGGGAGGGAGAGAGAGAGATTTGTTGTTCCACTGATTTATTGGTTGCTTCTTGTATGTGCCCTGACTAGAGGTAAAACCTTAAAACCGTAGTGTACTGCAAGCATGTCAAACACAAAGACTAACACAAGCCAAATCAACAAGGTTTAAGTTTCTGTGGGCCGCAAAAAAACAAAAACTTCAATTTTCATAGCAACATATGTTTATTTCGATAGAGACATGCTGAATACAAAGGGCTGAAATAAAAATCGTTAACAGAAAATAATAGAATAATTTTAATATTTTTTTCTTGAACATTAACTTACCAGATACTGAATAACTGCACAAATTAATAAGCGTAACACAAATAAACCTATTTTTCTTGTTCTCCAAAAGTGAAATATTGCCTGTTGCGCACACCAAACAAGTCAGTCCAAGACTAATGACGTGGCAATCAGCTGCTAAAATATTCCCTGCTAGTATTAGTGGAGAGAAATGGTGCGCCTGTGTGTAAGGTGTGTAAGGGAAATGAATACAACACGATTACAGTAACCAGTCATTAGCGAACGTCGTAGTTTGTTATTAATAATTATGTATAATAGGATATTGTAAAAACTAAGGTAAAAAATTTTTATTACAATGTTTCTTACATACTGTTATATTGGCTGGGTTGCATGCAACCCGTGGGCTGTGAGTTTGACATGCTTGGTGTACTGGGATGATGCTCTAACCAATTGAGCTACCCAGCTTAGGTGTGGATTTCTTGTGATTCACTGCAATTTGTGCATCTTTCATTAGTTCGGAAATTTTTTAGCCATCATCTCTTCAAATATCCCTGTCCAGTTTATTTCCAGAACTCCAATTATATATTAGACTTCTCACTTGTTTTCTTCCATTACTTTTTCTTTCTGTGCTACATTCCAGATGATGTCTTTAAATCTATCTTCGAGCATGTTAAATCTCTCTTTAACTGTGTCCAATCTGCAGTTAAACTCACCCATTGACTTTTAAACTGTAATTACTATGTTATTTTTTCATTCCAAAAATGCTATTTGTTTTTTTCAGATCTGCTTGGTCATTATATATATATATTTCACA